GTTAAAGAAGAGATGTACAGATATACCTTATTTCTAGAGAGACAGAATTGATAATACTTCCGTATTTTAAATCATAAGATTAGATAGAAAAATGCTGCTGGTGCCATTTTTCCAAAGTTGCTAACCACAGTATATTCGCTGACGGGACTACTGACTACTGCTATGAGAATACACAATATAATTTGAGAACATCAGATGTAGAGCGTCTGTGTTATCGACACATTTTTTTCTGGATCACAGGCAAGTGATTACTAGAGCACAAGCTTTTCATTTTGATGTGAAAGTTTTGCGGATGCTACTGACAAAATGTGGGGATTTTTCAGGTAAAAAAAATCAATCAACAGCTTTGGCCTTAATGGATTAACTAAACAAATCCTCACAGCAGACAGATTCTCTGTACATTTAGCTGATTCAGAACTGTAGCTGTGTACCTTGTGGGTTTCTTTCATAAGCAGTCATGATTTTAATCTGGATTTTTATGTGACGTATTTGGCCTGAATTTTAAATTATGTGCTGTTTCCAAACCTAGATCACCTAAAATCCGTTTATCCTTTACTTGTCTTAGTCATGCTCTGTTTGTGTATCCACCGAAACGCTGCAGTATGGTATATGTAACTGCTTTTCACTAACTGCACAAGTTAAGTTAAACTTAAAGACTAAAGCAAAATTTCTGATAGAAAACCTTGATCGAGGCTTCTTCGCAGTTTGTAATTGATTTATTCTCTCTGATCCAAACAGCTTGTGTGCATCTGAGTTGATTTTACAAGTTAACAAGCTGTCTGTTCAGCTGCTCTGACTCACTGTCCCACTGATGTCTTCTTTTGAACTGGCCTAATTGGTGGCTTGGCAGTCTATTGTAGCGGGTGTATGTGTGTGTGACTGGGGACTTACAGGAAAGAGGCGTGCAGTCGACTGATTGCAGTGCATCGAGATGGGGGCTGTGTTATAAAGCGAGTCCAGCACTTCTCCGGTGAATTCATCCCACTCTAGTTGAGAAAACTGCTCCGTCACACTAACCTCACCACACACACACTGGTCATTTCCGTGGAACCTGCAGGGAAGGAGGGTAGGATGGAGAGGGGGAAGAGAGATTTGAAGGAAAGTCAATAAAAGAAGGAGGCAGAGTGAGATTGAGAAAGGATTAGGAATCTGAGTTATCAGGACACAGTTTTACTTTTGGAAAATGTAATCACCACGCGTCCCCAGGAGGAGATGAGCTGAGAACAAAAATGGCTTAGTCACATGTGAGAGGAAGAGGGAAAGGAGAAAGAGTAGCTAATCGTTTTAGGGAGCGGGAAATGTTGTGTGCCTGCACTACCTGTTAATGAAGTTAAAATATTTCTGCAGGTATCCTTGGTCAACGTGGCTCTTGCAGAGCTCCAGCTGGGTACGGGGGTAGTAGTGAATGTAGTTGACACACATTTCCTCCATGATGCCAAAACCACCCTGAGGAGACAAAGATATTTCAGACAGTGAAAATATAGTACACAGAGCAGATACAGGGTTGCCAAGACAGCGAGAACAAAAGAAATATGTTGAGTTTTGAAGGATAAAGATGGAAGGAGATTAAAGAAGCTGCTCGTGGTTATCCTTCTGTTATTCACAATGATCAGGGTGAAATCCAGCAACAAGAAAAGAGTTTTTATATATTCAGAGTGCGCTGCTCACCACTGTAGGCTTGCTCCTATCTTCTGTGTTATAAGTACACTTTGTTATAAGTACGTCACCCTGTGGGATTAAGCACAGATATGAAGACATTCCACCACATTTTATATTTAGCAAACAACACTGATGATACTTTAAGATTACTGCCAGAAAATCATTCATGTAAGAGATACAGTGTCCAGTCAGAGGTCTGCTGCTGCTATTCCCAAGAGATGGGCCAAGCTGCCTCTTCCTGTTGGACTTCTGTTTAAACGCTTTCTACAGTAGTAAGCTACTCTAATTAAAAACTTCATAGGCGAAGGGGAAATCATATCTACAGGGCTCTAGCATTAAAAAAAACAATTTTGGAAGACAGTAATCGGAATCTGTTCGTAGAACAAGCACTGTCGTGAAGTAAACAAAAACATGTTATTGCCTTTTGTAATTTCTGTTGAAAATACAGCCATTTGTTGGATACTTACAGGCAAAATGTTCACCATTTTCCTAAGAACCCGGATTGTCTGTATGAAAACAAAGACAAAAAGAAAGACAAAAATAGAGTTTTTCAAAATTAATAATAAGTCCTGCAGAAGCTTCTGGGTTTAAGAAGCTTCTGGGCTGTAAGTGATGATGTGATGGTGAATGGGTGTTTGTCTCTATGTGTTAGCCCAACAATAGATTGGTGCTATAACCTAAAAAGCAGTCTGCTGTTCAACCTATGACAGGCGTAGGATAGTCCCCTGGATGGATGGATGCATGCATGGATGTATGTATTGATAGAAGAGTTCACATTTACCACTGCAAAATGCAGCACTCTGCATAGCATCTTAATTTTAGATATAACTGGATACTCTGTGTACAGCACAAATGCAGTAAGAAAAACCAGTGGCTGCTTTCCTTGGAGGCACCTTTCACAGTTATTAGCTTTCTCTGTTAAAAGGTCTATTAGCTTGGCTGAGACTGGTTTGATGCGGTTCTTATTGCTCAATAAGGCTGCAGGTGAAACTTAATCGGACATCAGCAGCAGCTGGACGTTTTATTTGAGAGTCTGTGTCCAGCTGTGTGTGTGTATTTGCCTCAGGATAGTGTGCATAAATAAAACACAGCAGATGTCGACAACTGATTAGATGTTTAGTTGATAGGTCTTTGCATATAAGGCATTATATAAGGCATCCATCTATTACCTGAACTGCACCTTCACTCATTCATCAATGCTTTTCTCTAATATAAAGCCGGAAATGGAGACAAACTGTGTCTCTTTGCTGCTGCAAAGCTCCTGTAAAGGGAACTATTCAAAACCAGGATGCTGCTGAAGCTGAAGACTACATCACTATCTAGTGACGTCAATACTGATGTCAGTGCTTATACAAGGTTGCTGATGGTCTTTAGATGTAAAAAAATGTTAAGTGTTCTAAGTGTGAGCTTCTCTTTTGCTCCTGTTTTTTGGACAGAAGTGACTTCTGACCTTCATCACTAGATACGCTTTTTTGTTTTTTAAGAATAAGAATCTTTTTCAGTTACATATTGACTCTATTTTGAAATAGTTTTTCTAAAGCACATGTCAAAACTTGTTGAGCCTTTGCTCCCCAAAAATGAAAAGCTACCCGATGCCTACAGCCAATTTAGAATCGCCAGTTAACCCAACCTTCATATTTTGGACTGTGGGTGGAGCAGGCACAGAGATGATGTGCAGTACTTTCATACTGAAAGATTTCAGCTGATCAGTAAGTTGGAACTTGCTGAGAGACAGGAGTGCTAATTTGTACACCACTGTGCCATCCAATGTGTCCCAAGTGCTTTTTAATATTAAACCCAACATGTTATTAACCAGCCAGTGAAAATATACTGTAAAAGTATGTGATTTATTCCTATTTTAACAGAACATTATTAAATTACTCAGCATTAACCACAGGAAATTAGTAAGTAAATGATGAAGAAGTACTCTGATTGACTCACAAACACTTTGTGTACATCATTGTGTACATCATTAAATAATTTCCCCCAGGGATTAATAAAGTATTCTGATTCTGATTGATTCTGATTAACAACATGCATGATCGCGTATATTTATTTGCATTTTTAGCTGTTTTTCGCCTCTCTAGCTTGTCTGTGTATCTTATGGCCTGTGTATAGTGTACACGGGTCACTTTACCGCAGTCCAATCAGACTTTACGGCAGTAAAACAGCTTCTTTTTTTTTAAATGTTGGAGAAAGTAGTAAAAGGGTAGAAAAAGACTTAATTTACCAAATATTTGTTGTGAATAAGCTTTGAAACACACATCTCTTTGAGATCTAAAATAAAGGCCACCTTAACCCAGTCTAATTTTAGACACAGTGTGCAAAGGTGGAGTTCCTCTGCGTAAACAGAGCCCTGCTATCTCCCACCTGGTAGTGCGTACTGAAATGCTGGTCTTCCTGTACCACCTCCAGCTCTTTGCCTCCCCTCACCAAAATCGTCCTCACCCCACGCCCCGCCAAGTGGGTGTGCAGCTGGGAAGCAAATACATAGATTCCACCTGAAGGCAAAGCCTGGGTAGACAGAGAAAGAGTCAAGCTCCAAGTAAAACTTTTTTTTTTACCATAGAGACAGAGAAAAAACTTGGGAAAAGAAAGACATGTCAGCCAAAATATCCCCCCCAGCATTTTAACTATAAATAATGAAGTAAATCTGTACATACTGTTTGGGTACACTTGGAGGTGCAGTATCCACTGAGGTAAAAGGTGTGTTGTTTAGGTGGGATACCCATTACAGGAGTGTAAACGAGGCCCAGCTCCATGATCCCTGCATCGTAGCGCCTCAGGCTCGGGGTGTAATACAGTCGTATCCCTGATGAGTCACGCCGGCCTGCGTGAAGAATATTAAAATATTAGAACACATTTAGCATATCTTAAGTAAACTACTTACTTTTAGAACATTTTAAAACATTTGATAGCCAGAATAGTCTTGTATTATACCAGACTAAGAATACACATAAGGAATTTATTTCAGGTGCTGTTTGTGTGCTACAGCAACAGATCTTGGAAGGAGATTAACAGAAACATAAAAAGAGGATTATAAAGTAAGGTCTAGTTAATATGTAATTATATACTGTAATATGTAGTATGTATGTTTGGCCCAGGTAAATATGACTCCTCCTATTTTAACTTCTGTTTAGACAACACAGTATAACAACCTCTAAAACGCTTGCTATGTGCAATTTGTTAGCATAAGATATTAAAAGGTGATCTTGGTGATATTTCTGAAATTAATTTAATAATTCAAGAGGAACCCTCTTGGTCCAGGGGTCCAGCTGGGGACCTTTGTTGAATGTCATCCTCCACCCCTCGCTTCCTTGTTTCCTGTTATTGAGGACCTGTGGTTTCTAAATTATTTTAAATCGCAGAAATACTGTATTATAAGAGCCAGGGCTGAAAAAGTAAGAAATACTTGGAAGATATCTGT